AAAGTATTTGAGCTACACTGATCTGAATCCCACCTCCATTCATGTAATGCTTGGGGAATCTAGGAATAATTCATATGTACATATATCAGGTAGGATATTATGAAATAAAATTCAAAAATTTGACATAAGTTCAAATTTTATGAATAATATACCTACCTGATATATGTACGAACCCTCCCATCCTTCCCCTAATTGCAGAATCAGTTTCTCAAGGGCGATTTGTAAGCGCCTCGAATGAACTGACATGTGCATGGGATCATGTGATCTGGTGCGTGCGCATGTTTACTACTTCCGGTAGACTCGATTGGTCTAGTACCGGAAAGTGCGAGTTTTAGCGTAAGGAACGATAATTCATATGTACATATATCAGGTAGGTATATTATTCATAAAATTTGAACTTATGTCAAATTTTTGAACTTCATTTCATTTTGTCATTTGTTTCTTCGTCAGTTTCATTAGGTGACTTTAATAACACTTAAAAATCAAATATCCCCTACTTTTTTTGAATAGTATATATGAAATTAATAAGAAACCATCCGCCTGGATTAAGAATAACAGTAATAGAAATAATCAAGGTGTAAAGGATATTTAACAATAACAACAAACATAACAAGGTAATTAGCTACTAATAAGCACTGGTACTGCATGATTAGAGGGTTATTAACAGTTATGAAGCCCTTCAAAAGGGTAGCATGTATGGATAGTGGGAAGTTGATAAAGCACAGGTAGTGAGGCCATGTGCATGAAGTTAAATAAGATTTGCATTATATAAGTACAACTATAACAATACACAATTTGTACTAAGAAAACAAGAACAAAAACCTCTAAAAATATAAGGGACAGGTTGGGAGAGTCTATAATATCGAAAATTTATTAATGAGATGGGGTGGGGGCGGGGATTTTAGTACAACCAAAGATGGCTTAATAGTTAAATTATGTTGTGCATCTTAATTACATCATCATATGCCCTGGGGATGTAGAGCCCTAAGTCCCTATTGAGTTCAGGTGAATGTTAAATGGAATGAGGTCCAGATACTAACCGCCAACCAACAGAACAAGAAAACCAGGAAGATCCTAGAAGCTATAAATATCAGAAGACATTCACCTGAACTCAATAGGGACTTAGGGCTCTACATCCCCAGGGCATATGATGATGTAATTAAGATGCACAACATAATTTAACTATTAAGCCATCTTTGGTTGTACTAAAATCCCCGCCCCCACCCCATCTCATTAATAAATTTTCGATATTATAGACTCTCCCAACCTGTTAATAACCCTCTAATCATGCAGTATCAGTGCTTATTAGTAGCTAATTACCTTGTTATGTTTGTTGTTATTGTTAAATATCCTTTACACCTTGATTATTTCTATTACTGTTATTCTTAATCCATGCAGATGGTTTCTTATTAATTTCATATATATTGTCCACAAGTTTACTAAATTGTCTTGTCTACGATATCACCTTAGGTGGAAGTGGACGTAAAACCCCAGAAACGAACGAACGAACTAAATTGTCATTTGTGCTTGATAACGATAAGAGGATACTTGTCGAAACGTCGTGCTTTTAGAATAAACTAGTGATTGTATCCCATAAAAACTGTGTTCTGTTAATTTGTTCCCTGATCGCTAAATGCCACTTAAAGAATAGGTTTATAACCCACAGATCTTGGTTCCTTTCGATATTCGCGCATATCGGACCGTAACGTCCTGAATTATACCCCCTGATTGTAAGAAAAATCGCGTTTTTATCTTGTGGACCCTATAGTATAGAGGTCAAAATTTGTATCCAATTTAAAAAACTGTTTTAGTATATCACCGTTACACACTAAGGATGGCTGAGTTCGAATTTCGTAAAAATGGCCCAAAACTGACAGACAAAATGGCCGTCCTCGTTCTCAAATAGCGTAAAAAATATGGTATATCAAGGTTGTGGACCCTCTAGAGGTCACAATTTTCTTCTGATTTCTGATGAAACTTGGAAATTAAGTTTATAACCCAAAGATCTCGGTTCCTTTCGATATTCGTGCATATCGGACCGTCACTTCCTGAATTATGGCCCTTGATTGAACAAAAAATCACGTTTTTAGCTTGTGGTCCCTGTAGAGGTCACAATTTTCATCTAATTAAAAACAATGTGTGAATATATCACCATTACACACTAAGATCTTGGATCCTTTTGATAATCGCGGAAACCTTCCTGGGTTATGGCCCCTGATTGTTCGAAAAATGTCATTTTTAGCTTGCGGATTCTCTAGAGGTCACAATTTTTTTTCCGATTTTAAAAACCGTTTAAATATTTCACCATTCCACCATAATGAAGGCTGAATTCGAATTTCGGGAAAATCGTAATGAAACTGCCCAACAAAATGGCCGCTCTTTGTATGCAAATTGTGTAAAAGTATGCAATACGATGGTTGTCGACCCTCTAGAGGTCACAATTTTGATCCGATTCTGATGAAACTTAAAACATATCTTTATATCCCAAAGATCTCAGTGCCTTTTGATATTTGCGCATTTCAGACCAAAACTTTCTGGGTTATTGCCCCTGATTGTACAAAAAATCCCGTTTGTTTTTAGCTTGTTCTCTGTCCATCTCTTGCAAAATGTGGGCGTATCCTGCCTGGCAGCCGCTGGTTCTTATATTTATCAATGACATTACCGACGGTACAGTAGGATTAGGTAGACGTTTTGCACACGATACTAATTACAGCACTTTAAAAAATATAATTAATTTAGATTTAATATATTTTAATGAGTGGTCAAAAAAGTGGCTGGTTAAAATCAGTCTGACACTAAAACCTGTCAATAAACATTTAGGAATTATCTTCAGTAGCGACTGTAAATTAACTAATCATATTGATAAATTGATTGGCAATGCCCCGAAACAGTTAAGCATTTTAAGAAAACTAAAATATAAATTAAAGAGGGAATACTTGGAAAAAATTTATTTAACATTTATCAGGCCAATATTAGAATATTCATCTGAAGTGTGGGACAATTATGGAAAAGTCAACTCCGAGCGTTAAGAAAAGCTCCAAATCGAAGCAGGTCGAATTGTTACGGGCTTAACAAGTTATGCTCGTTTAGAATCCATTTATAAAGAGTCGGGGTGGGAAACTCGGAGGCTTGTTAGGAAATTGTCATTATTCTATAAAATTGTAAATGAGCAGACACCTCAATATTTTACAGACCTTGTACCAGATATGGTATCACAAAATAACAATTATTATCTTCGTAACTCCCAAGATCAGATTCAGAGTCTAATCAGATGGTTGCATATCCAAAAAAATAAAAATAAAAAAAAAAATAAAATCCGCCCACTATTAAATTGTGGAACTCTTTGGATTTACAATTGAGACAATTACCAACATTTTCTCTTTTTAAAAATAAGCTATGTGCGGTATATTTTCAAAACGCAAATGTTCCAACTTATTTTTCATGTAGTGATCTATATTTAAACATTTTACACTGCAGGATGCGTAATAAATGCAGTGCCTTAAATGGCGATTTATTTCATGCAAATGTAGTTGATAATTCTGCTTGTTCATGTGGATATGATATTGAAAACGCAAACCATTTCTTATTATCTTGTTCAAAATATAAAATACACAAAGACGTCATAATAGCTGAATTGAAAATGTTACAATTTGATGATATACATGTACTATTAAATGTTGATATTTTGTTGTTTGGTAATGATTTTTTGCAATAGATATTTACCTATAATTATTTGTTTAAAGATAAATACTAGACTCGTTGGACGATCACACATTTTTGTTATCTGAGTCACGAATCAGACAAAACACTATATAAAACTTCTGTAAATTAAATGATATAATTAATCTCCACATCTCCACATATCTGGAACTTCTATCTGAGAATATGAGTTCACTTATAAGAATAATCCACTAAGTACACGTGGAATGTAAGAGTCTGTCTGATTCGCAACATAATTAAAGAGAAATAGTTTTGATAGTGTAATTTGAAATTATTATAAAATTAATTATTTCACATACATGTAGTTTCTACACTTATATTACTATTATTATTTTTCTTTCTTTCTTTTCTTTTCTTCGTACTCAGATATGCAAAAAAGAGATTTGATTACAAATGTAATGTGTTCGATTATGATTATTTGTTTTATGTAAATATATATATTGGAGATGGCGTTGTAAGTTGTAAAACTTGTGCCTTATCCATTTGTTAGTTAGAACAATAAAATATGTTAAAATTAATCGCATGTTAGAACAATAAAATATGTTTAAATTAATCGCATGTGGTAGACTTTTCGCGGTTTTGCTTTCCATATTCGACCGACGGGCCTCGTGGGTTTTCTCCGGGTCCTCCGGTTTCCTCCCACTGCTAAAGACCCCTACGCGCAAGCGAATTATTGAAATAAAATTAAACCATATGTTAGTCCCGAAATAACCTAGTTTGTGTCGAGTGGACGTTAAACCCTATTTCTCTCTCTCTCTCTCTCTCTCCAAATCGACCGACGGGTAGTGCTACACGATTTTATCACGTGACTTTTAAAATATAACACAGTTTTAAATGGGATTGATCGCCATTTGATGGTAGTTACTTTTTACTTAGCTGTGTATTTATTATTTTGTAGAAGATTTATGTGACCCGAGTCCCTGTACCGAGGTCGGGGATACATGTTTTCGTGTTGATGGTGGATTTGAATGTCGATGTATTTATATTGTAAATGATGAAAGTAAGTATTTTTAATGTCAACCCATTGGGCTGTTTTAGAAGCACGTAGATTTTGTTTATGTGGCGTGTATGCTGCAGTGACCATGATGTTAGAAATGTAATTAAAACTATAACCATCACTTTTTGTTTATAATTTCAGTTATAACATCACCGAATTATCCACTTGCATATCCAAACAACTTCGCCATTTGCTATCTTATAATTGGCCGACCTGAACAGAATATCACCTTAACTCTTGGCGGACAATATAGCATTGAGTTCGGTGATGTGTTGTTAGGGTCTACATGCCAGGGCGGACCATCTACAACATGTATTTATGATTATCTAACGCTTCAGGGAGTAAGGTAATCCCATCTATCTTATCAATAAGAACCCCACATTTTCTAGTTACATCCACCGGGTAAATAAGTAAACCCCAAAACAAATAGCAAAGCAAAAGCGCCTGACTGCAATACCAGCCAGTGAGTAAAGCAACAAGAAATTAGTGATAGCGTTATTTGTCTAGCTTTAGAACCGAAATCCAACGACGACCATCCGAATTCCGTGTTTGTTGGGAGATGGGTAGAAATAAAGTGGCCGACACCTTTCCGCTCAAGTTCCTGGGAGCTGGTAATTAGCCCGGGGATATGTGTGTGTGTTGGGGGGGGGGGGCATCTCCCCCACGGAATTTATGAATTTTAGCAAGTGAGTACGACATCCTGAAAGTGGTCCAATATAATCCATCTGGAAATGGCATCAAAAAATTCTCTAATGAAATAAATGATGATGCCCGAAACATGTCGCGCTTTGAGCTGAGCGACTACACTGTCTATTACACTAATTTTCACTGGTTTAGTTAATTTCTAAACATTTTATTCCCAAAAACCTTATGACACAAATAATGATCGATGCCCTAAAATTGTGACATAATACAGATTGCTTCCAGATCAAATAGTCATGGGATTTCAAACTCTTAAATTTGATGACTAGAAGACAAAAAGAAAAATAATGAAAAATTCCCGTCTTCCCGAACAGAATCTGATCTTAAATGAAAATAATGCTCGATGCCGGAAAACAATCGCATAATGCACAATTGATTCAAACCAAAACGTAGTGTGATTTCGGGCACTTTATTTGCCGACAAAAAAAGTTTTTTTCAACGTCAATGATACAAATAACTGAAGTGGTTTATTTTTTATATTATAGTTATTGTGGTGGGGCACCGCCAGACCCTATCATAGTACCAACTGGTGAAAACACCACCGTGAGATTCGAAACAGATTCCTTCTTTACATGCCTTGGTTTTAACCTGAGCATTACCTACACAGGTATGAACTGTTGTATTATATGTTTATACAGGTAACCACTGATATAGATTAGTAAATAAATAATAGACTACTTGTATATATTTGTATGTAGATAATAACTACTGGAATAGATTCTATTTGTCATTTAAAACACGCATTTGCAAGAACACATTGCTGTATCTAAATATTTCTATATATTTACCTACTTGTCTTTATTTGTCTATTTTCAGATGTATAAAGCCAAGACATCAAGAGATGTATACATTTTGAGACATCAAGAATAAGTCGTGTTATAGCCATCAATGTAATAACTATATCCAAATTAATCTAAATTCATTTAAATAACAAAACTAAATCCATTCTAGAAACTGACCAATAACCTAAATAAACAATTCTTACTGTAATTTTCATTTATTCACTTAAAGTCTCGATGCGTCATTTTAGCGCTATTGGAATTACTTCTGTTCAGTACTGAATACGCCCACACAGTATCTGTGTCTCAACTGCAGCTGATCTGAAAGGAAAACTTGGATGTTGAACAAATTTGAAAAGGATCGAAAATTGAAAAAATAAACAAGCCTCTCTGATGTCCCCCGCCGAAATCCAAACATAAATAGATGACACATATTAATTAATCGCACATTTATTTTTTTCAAAAGTATCAAGCAATCAAACTGCACACTAAGTTTCATCCCTCTTTACCAGATAGAATCAGTTTATCTTGTCCCAAAGCATTGACCTATGAAATTGATTAGTTCTGCTTAGCTTCACGTCAAGACATTCACCTAATGAACATCTACATCAAGTTTAACCAATCTACCTCAATTGAAAGCAGACTTGTTACGTTCCAAAGTCTTGACCAATAAAATTGCTTATCGCTCCTTAGCGCAAGCAGAAAATTCCCACCATTGAACTTAGTCAAGGTAATGATATAATGAATCTATATTCTGAGTTTCATCGCTCTCACTTCATTATAACCAAAGTTATCGTGTCCCAAAGCATCAAACAATCAGATTGCTTATCTCTGCTTACCGTTAACAGACAATGTTAATCATCGAACCCCAAGGCATTCACCTAATGAACGCCTACAACAATTTTGAACATTCTACCTCCATAAGGAGAGTTAATGTGTCTAAAAGTCTCGCCCAATCAAATTGTTTATCGCTCTGCTTACCCCCAGCAGAATATTTTCATTATCGAACTTAGTCAAGGTATTGATGTAATAAAGCTATACACTAAGTGTCCTCACTCTCACTTTATTAGATTTAAAGTTATCGTGTCCCAAAGCATCATCCAATCAAATTGCTTATCTCTGCTTACGGTAAGCAGAAAATTCTCATCTTCCAACTCCATCAAAGCATTCACCTAATAGACAGCTACGTCAAGTGTGAATATTCCAACTCAATTAGAATGAGAGTTGTTGTGTTCCAAAATCTCGACCAATCAAATTGCTTATCGTTCTGCTTACCCTGAGCAGAAAATACTCATTATCGAACTTAGTCAAGGTATTGATGTTATGAAAGTATACCCAAAGTTTCATCACTCTCACTTAATTAGAACTTTATCGTGTCCCAAAGAATTAACAAATCAAATTGCCTATCTCTGCTTACCCTAAGCAGAAAATTCTCATCTTCGAACAACATCAAGGCATTCACCTAATAAACACCTAAACCAAGTTTGAACATTCTAGCTTAATTATAAAGAGGGTTAATGTGTCCCAAAAAGTATAACGGACAGACAGACCGACGGACGAACCCATTTTAATAGTCCTCTTTCTTCGAAAGGCGGGGGACAAAAAAATCTGTTAAAACCTATAGCCTTTATCGCTTTCATACGGTTTTCGGCAAAGAGGGGATAACTCAGGAACAACAGAAGGCTGTGGATTAGGAATATTGACAGGGTTCGATGACCAATACTTCAAGCCAAATATGAAAAAGATCCATTAACAACAATGAAATCAAATGGGGTTTAACCACATACAGCTCTGCCCATAAATCCTTTTCTTATGATCGGAATCAAAAAGGACTGCAGGCATTATGTACTTTAAGATGCTAGTATACGTATTCACTCCGATTTTCAAGCTTCTACGACAAACGGTAACGGTGGCGAGACCATAAGACGTTCGCAGAATAATGGTATATTACCATGTAGTTATTTTGATTTAGGTCGATTTTCAAAGATGACCGCCGTCATAGCGCAACCCGTAAAGAAGGCCGGGTTTGTTTGGGTTTTTTTACCGACAACGGTGTTTTTAGACTATAGAGGCATCATTCCTGTGGTCGTAGTACATTGAAATGCTGATAGAATGTGCGTCCATAACATCCAGACACTTTTGAGTAAAAGATAGGTTACGTGCCCTTGTTTTGAAATTAGTCTCGCTTAACCAGTCTATCGACCATTCTACGTCTGATTGACAGGTCGGGATAATCAAGACTACTTTTTTACGAAACATAACAGAAAGCTAGAACAAGAAATTGAATTTAGAAATAAGCACTTTAGACAACTCAACAATTGTTTTAAGAAACTTGTAAAAGTAAAATGAAACTACTGCTAGTATCATGTTCCTGCTAAAGAAAGTGATTCAGAGATAGTATTTGTACTGAACCAAAAGATGCCGCTCTTAACGGTACAGTTAATGATAAAGCAATTTAAAAAATAAAACAAACGTAATTACTAAAGCTGCTGTAATAACCAAGAAGCTAAATTTTACTGCTATTCAAAATCGTCAACAATAGATTTTTTACGGCTGTAATAATTGATATATTTGTAGAGAATTGCACGTGCCATGGCTTTTTATCGACTCAAAGCGAGTGCGGGGTAGTCAGAAATCAGTTCGAGACACGCAACTGAAGCGTGCACATTTAGCCGTGTCGAGACCAACTTTCTGTAAAGTGCACGGGTCATCCTAGTATTACTATATCAGGAGACGGTGTCGAGTTTCTATTGTTTGTTAATTTCGATAAAAAGTAGAAATATAATTTGACTTATAAAGTGAGCTGTAGCAATTCGCGTTGATGGAAAACCCCCGGACGCGTGACGTCAGACCGATATTTTACTCGCGACCGTCTAACGTACATAAACGGTAATTTCGCTTACATTTCGATAATTTTTTAGTCTGAATCTTTGCAGATTATGAGATTGATATTAAACTACATGTATTACAACACAGTTGCTAGTGATACATTTAAGTAAAATAGTAATTCAGAATCGTAGATTGAGGTAGGCTATATTTCAGCCGCTGGCTCTCGGATTTCACGCTAGTCACGTGACCCGAAACCCCTAATATGAGTAATAAACAGATAGGCGTTATTGTGAAGTTGTAAAAATTTTAATAAGAAGTAGAAAATTAAAATAACAATGATACAGAGAAATCCCAACCATAAAAAGGCCAATATGCAATCTGCAAAATAGTTAATTATTAAAACATAGTTAAAACATCAAAGTGTAACGACTAATCACTACAAAATAACAACGGCAACAAATCACGAACGATAGAAGTATCAATTTCAAGCCAATGAACTTAGATCCGTTGATCGTATAACTATCGATCACTAAAACAACAGCTAATCACGATAACAAGTATGTCTATTAATGACAAAACTCTAACCAAATAACTTTTTCCTGAACTGATCACTGATCAAGAACCATCTCACACCACAGGAAGTAGATATAGTTTCGTTGTTATCGCTAACAACAGTTTCGGACATGCCCAATTGCCCAGGAGCAAACACACACCGGGTGTCAATTCAAACCGTCACACCGGGATCTTTCAAGGTGATACCCACGACAGTATCGACATGTGGAAATGCCCAGGAGCAAACACACACCGGGAGTCAATTCAAACTGTCTCACCGGGACCATATGGTTTCACGGTGATACCCACGACAGTATGGATGTGATACACGTGCGCATTTCAATTTTTGACCGATTTTGAACTGATAAAGGGTCTGTACTCAGCCTGTAGGCCCAAAGGGGTCAATATTTGGCTGAATGGTGGTTGCGGGGGTGAGGGACCTGCCCTAAAAATTTGGTGTCGTTTGTCCATCAGGAAGGGCTCTAACTAAGCGTTACTACAAGTGATCACATAGTCTAACCTCTTCGAAATTTCAGCTACCACCCATTTTCGACCGGTGTGCGTCGAATTTTGAGAAAAAAGTAATTCGGTAACCTCGGGAAAATGGTCACCGCTCGACTTACAGAGGTCCGAAACAGAAGTTGGTGTTATGGAATCCTGCGGGGCGTCCTAGATCAGGCACCGAGTGAATTTCAGACTGATTCCCACGAAAGTACGGATGCAGTGAGCATGCATGCGTATTTCGATTTTTGTCCCAATTCGCTCTGAAAAAGCGTTGCGAGGGGGAATTGGCGGAGGTACCTTCCCTGAAAATATAGTGCCAATCACCTCTCTGGCAGGGGCCGCGCGTAGCAATAATCCACCTGAGAACAGAGCGATAAAAGTCGATTTTGGCATTTTGGTACCCCTTAAAAAAAAGCCCAAGTTCTCCGGTAAAACTTGAATTAAGGATAGGTAAGTGTCTGATCCGAACCCTAGTCGACCTAATCCCCCTAGTGTGCCTTTAGCACAATTCTTTGCCCTTTTCCGAGGGATAGGGTATGTTAGCCCGAATTCACAAGAATAAGTTTGGAGTCAGGTTAATCCCTTTTCAACCCTAAGTTCTACCTCTATGTAACTTTTTTCCAAACCCTGTCCTCTCCCGTTGGCTACAAGGGGGATAAAATTTCGAAAAATTGTCTCAATCTCGTTCACAAGGTTTTCGACAAAGGAGGAATAACAATAGAATCGAAAGCCACATAACGCCACAATGCTGCATACCTAATTTTGAAATGATCCGTCGAAAGGTATAGCTTCTATCGCGTTCACAAAAGTCCCGGAACGCTGAAAATCGATGTTTGTGAGGATTCCAGCACTCACAAAATATTGTACCCAAAATTTACCCTAAATCATATTTTAACAAAGGAAATTATTTTGAAGCTTAATATATAACTACTTTTATTAGCATGTAAAATTAATACAATTTTTAAACAGATTAGTCTACCAGCAAATCAATGCGAGAGTAAGAACGTTGGAAGTTAGCGGTGGAGGAATGGCAGATGCACGATATAGATTTACAGCAGCCATTATACATTTTTAACATTTTTGGTCTGAGATAAAAATGCGAAGAAAATAGATGAAATTTATATGACACAACTAATCGCTTAGAGCGTATTTAATCTGGTTGTAAGTTGAAATTATAACCCGCATACGACTTCGATATCAAAAAATATGTAAGTTAGGAGGAACCTGCCATTTAAACCTCAAGTTTAAATTCGTCAATATAAAGAAACTCGACCTAAATAGTCTTAACGATACACAAGGTACAATTTTATGGGTACACAATTACCG